TGTGTAAACGTTTGGAGGGGCTGAGCTGGGGCTGCTCTGTAAGTAAGGGCTGCAGGCACAGCGCTCCTCCCCTGGCCTGAGCACGGGATTGCAAGTTAACAGTGGTGCTGCTTCAGGCTGCAGACTGACCCCAAGCGAGGCTCAGAGCGAGTTCCTGGCTGCCAGTGGGGATCGGGGCCACTTGGTGGGAAACAGCAGTTGTCCACTTATCGGCCAGGCCATTTATATACATATATATTTAAATGTATTTAAAAAAATACATTGTTGCAGGGTCTCACTACCCAGCTTGGACTCTTGGTGATCCTCCTGCTTTCAGCCTCCCCAGCACTGGGATTACAAGTGTGTGTCACTGTGCCCAGACTCGGTGGCTGGCTCAGTATGCCCTGGGGACAAGGCTGGTGTAGCATGTGGTGCTGAGGATTGAACCATGGTTCCTACTCTTGCCTGAGCTTGCCTAAGCAGGATTTTTAGTCTGCTGAACTATCTCGCTGGCCTCTTGGCCATATATATCATATGATACATATGTGTAACACATGTATACATACACATTGCACATACATGTGCATATCTACACATACATATTAGATGTTTCATACCAGGGAGAACCAGGGCTCCTAACTGGATTCTGGCCAAGGTGGCTGGAGGCCAGACGCCACACTGAAGAACGAGGACTAGAATTCATCCATTGATAGAAGACAGGTGTTACGTTTATGTGGCGACACATGCATGACTTGCTTTTCAAAAGGGCTGTCAAATACATCGCTCCACTTTGGTCTCATAAGCCCTGTGATGTGGTTAGAGTAAGTGCGACGGCCTCAAGTTCAAATCAAGTAGGTCGAAGAGTGAGAAATGGCGCTCTAGTTCCCTGAGCACACGGTGAAGGAACTAAGGCCAGAATCAGGACTCGTGCGCGCGAGCCTGGCACTCCCTCGCATCCAGGGCCAGGCGCCAGGGTGACCCCCAGCACAGCGAGTGCTTGCGGAGGAGGCTTTCCCTCTGTTACCTAAGGAGGAAGTGAGACACCGGAATCAACACAGCCGCTGAGCTCGGCCGGGCAGAGGAGGTGAGTAGGAAGTGAAGAGGGAAACAGGTGGGGCTTTGCGCGGATACTTCCTGTTCGCAAACTTCTTCTGCTGCTCATTTCATTAACTGCAGCAGTGGAATTTCATGGACAATTGGCGCTGAGCACTAACTGGGAGGTAATGAGAGGGAGGATGCGGGAAAGGCTGTTTGAATTTCAATTCTATTTCTTCAGGGGAGGGGGGGCAGATTTTTTTTTTTTTTTCCAAAGCAATTTTATGGCTGGAAAAAAGTTCCTTGCAAACAGCTTTGGACTTGTGTGTCTTGCGCTGGCAGTGCAGGGCCTGGCGATCTCCTCACAGCCCACCGTGTGCGTGAGCCAAGCAGCCTTGTGAAGATGACCCGAGGCGGAGTGTGCAGAGGTGGGCCAGGTATGGGGCTTTGCGCAGCTTCTGTCAGAGTTGTGGAAACACAGCAGATAGATGTTCACCGTTGAGAGGGAGCAGGAATGAGCTTAGCAAAGTCATCTGACGTACAGATTGGTGAAGCGAGAAAATACGGCAGGGGCTGGGGATTTAGCTCAGCAGCACAAGTGTCTGCTTGGCAAGTGCAAGGTCCTCAGTTCCATTCCAGATATTAAAAAAAAAACAAACCCAAAAAACAAACAAACAAACAAACAAACAAACAAAAAAACCCAAAAAACCCCAAACCATATATATATAGAGAGAGATATCTAGATATCTCTTGGATGGAAAAAACCTTCTTCCCGAGGAGGATCAGAAGCAGTTTGGCCTGGCTACACTGAATACTGTGGTAGGAAACAATGAGAAACCGTGAAAATCAGCCACAAAAGGAAGGCTATTCTGTCAAAGGCTTGTATTCTGACCTTATAGTTCAGCTTTGAGGTCACAGGATCTGACCTAAAGTAGGACAAGCACCACAGACCATACTCCTAGAGAATCTGAGCCAGGGTGGCTGGTCCCCCAGGTGTGGGGGCCAGGACTGTACTCTGGGTGGGTGTTCGTGCCGAAGAAGGGATGCAACGGGCCCATCCGGACTGTAGTGTTGACTGTATGCGTCACCTCAGCTAGATAACCAGCCCAGTCTTTGGTAAATCCTAGATGTGTCTGTAAAGATATTTTTAAAATAAATTCAGGGACTGGGGAGATAGCTCAGTAGAATAAGCGCTTGCTTGGCAAGTGCGAGGGCCTGAGTTCAATCTCCGGTTCCGCAAAAAAAAAAAAAAAAAAAGTTCAATATTTAATTATTTTTAAAATATTTTAAGGGGGGGAGAGATAGCTCAGTAGAAGAAGCACCTGACCGGCAAGCTCAGGGTCCTGAGTTCAATCCCCTGAACCCCAAATAAGTAAGTAAATAAATAAACATAAATGCTCACACAGGCAGGGGCTGGTGAGATGGCTCAGTGGTCTAAAGCACCTACTTAGAACAAGCTTAGCAAAGCATCAGGGACCACGGTTCAATCCCCCAGCACCACATGCCAGCCAGCCCCGCCCCCTGGTGAGCTGAGCTGGCCACACACACACACACACACACACACACATAAATAAATAAAATTTAAAAAAAAAATATTTTAAGGGCTAGCCGGATAGCTCAGCAGACTAAAGCGCCTGCTTAGGCAGAGCGCAGTGGCCAGGGTTTGATCCTCGGCATGCTGTGCTGGCCCAGTCCCCAGGGCATACTGAGACAGTGATTGAGACTGGGTGTGGTGGCATGTGCCTGTAATCCCAGTGCTTGGGAGGCTGAAAACAGGAGAATCACTATGGGTATGATCTACATAGTGAGACCCTGTAGACCTTGTACTAAATACATTAAAAAAAAAAAAATTAGGGCCAGCGAGATAGCTCAGTGGACTAAGTGCCTGCTTTGGCAAGCACAGGAACCAGGGTTTGATCCCTAGTCCTGCATGCCGCACTGGTCCCCTCGGGCATGCTGAGCTGGCAACGCAGTCTGGGATTGGTGGGGCATGCCTGTAATCCTATCACTGGGGAGGCTGAAAATAGGAGGATCACTATGAGTCCCAGTCGCATAGTGAGACCCTGTACCAAATACATAAATGAAAAAATTATTACTACATTTTTATTAAAGTGATTATGTTCACTGTAGGAACTTGGTAAAGGACATATCTGAATTCTTTCATCCCTTTTGTTATATATATTTATACTTACTTCATGATGCTAGTATACAATGCATTCCTTGTAGCGACTTGGTACACGTACACAACATACCACAGTTTTCCTGCTAAAAATTTAGTTATCCCCCTTCTCTCCCATGTCTGTCTTTCAGCTGCCTTGCATATGATAAAGGTCTATTGTTTATATTTTATTTTGCTCTTTATTCATATTTTGGCTTTCTCATATAAGAAAGCCATGGGATATTTCTTTTCTTTTCTTTTCTTTTCTTTTTTAGCCATGGGATATTTCAACTTGTGCGTTTGATTTATTTCCTAGCTGGATAAAGTCAATATTTATATCAGTAGACTTTGAATAGAATGGGTGACCCTCCATAATGTGGGTGGGCTTCCTGCAATTGGTTGAAGACCTTAATTTTATTTATTTATTTATTTTTGGCCGAACTGGGGATTGAACTCAGGCCCTTGTGCTTGCCAGGGAAGCGTTTATTCTACTGAGCCATCTCCCCCCACCCCCAGCCCCAAGACCTTAATTTTAAAAAGACTTAATTTTCTTTTCTTTTTTCTTGTTTTTTCCCCTGTGGTACTAGGGATCAAACTCAGGCCCTTGTACTTGCCAGGCATGTGCTTATGCCACTGAGCTATATCTCCAGCCCAAGACTGAATTTTCTAGAAGAGGGAATCCTACCTGAAGACCACCTCTGAATGCAAACTGCAGTGCTCCTTGTCTCCAGCCTGCTGGTCTACCTGGAAGATTTTCAGCTTGCCAAGGCTCCACAATTGCCTGAGAGTTACGGATTGGTTTGTGTTCCTTCAAAATCTAACTCCTGGTGCCTCAGAACATGACTGTACCCAGGCACAAGGCCTTGCAGGAAGTAGTTAAGGCTAAACAGGGCATTAGCCTGGGCCCCAATCCGAGATGACCGGCATCCTGAAAGGAAGGGGAAGCAGACCTGGGCATGTGGATGGCTAGAGGCAGGACCGTGTGAAGCTGCAGTCTACAGGCCAACCGGAGAGGTCGCAGAAGAAACCGACTTTGCTGAAGCCTTGATCTTGGGCTTCCAGCATTCAGAATAATGAAAAAATAAGTTTCTGTTTGTTCGAGTTGCTGCTCAGGCTGCAGCTTTTTATTACAACAGCCCTAGCCGAGTAGCTCAAGGACAGGGGATTACCAATTCCTCACCTTCCCCATGGTGTGCTCACTAAATGTTGTGCAGGACCGGGCTGGGATGCCTCAGAGCTGGGTTTTGCCAGGCGCAAAGGGAAGATGGAGGCAGAGTCTGAGCTGAAAAGAAGGGGAACACAAGCTTCTGAAGGTACAGAACCTGCCAGGGTTGTGTGTTCTGATTGGTTCCAGATTGACTACAGGAATCAAATCCAGTGGAGGATATCTATGACCACTGACTTTCTGTCCGCGGCTGTGCCTAACGTAATTCCTAGCTCTTCATGAGCACTCAGTAAAGGTTTTATTGAATGAATGATTGAATAAATGACAAAGGCAGAGCTGGAGAGGGAGCCATCGTACACTGTAAAGAGCAGCTTAAGCGCATCTACAAGCATGTGTGTGCCCAGGGGTTTTCTGAGAGTGCTAGGTTCCTGGGCAGCGCAGTGACGTTTTACAGTACGCCTTGTTCTGTTGATCTTAAACAGGCTGTTCCTGGACCTGCTGTTGTCCACAGTGTGTGTTCTTGGACTCAATGAAAAGGGGCAAAGGAGATGGGGGAGGAGCTTTTAAATCACCATTCCTCCCCCTTCCATCTCCTCTCAGAAATATTTTCAGCGTCCCTAAATGCTATGAGAACGTAGCGACAAGGACCAGCAGGTTGAGCTTTCACAAGCCACTCCACAGAGCCCAGAGAGCACACAGGGTGATGGCGTAGAGCCCCAGCATGGCAAGGTAGCTCCGGAAGAGCAGCTGGTCAAAGCGGTAGAGGACAGCCAGCCACTGGACCTCCTGCTGGTCCACCTGGTCCTGGGTCTGGAGGTAGTTGTTGATGGATCGAAGCTGGAGCCAGACTTCTTCTAGAGCCCCTGGCTGGGCCTGATGTCCTTGATGAGCTGGTGACTCTGTGGGATGCGACAGAGCAAAACACTGGGTGAGCCACAGGCTACTTAAGACGACTGGACTCTCCCTTGAAGCTGACGCCTCAGCCTGCAGGGGAGGTGGTGGGCGACACTGGGCATGGGCTGGGATGGGGGTCAGAGACTTCTGCTCTCCTTGCTTAGGGTGCTGAGGAAGAAGGTCTGAGCCCTTGGCAGAGTGTGTCTGAGCAGAGTGTAAATAGGTGGGACTCACCTCAGAGATTTTCTGAGCTAGGGACCAGACCCAGGTGAGGCCACTGCAGTGTTAGGGGCTGGGGCATGATTCATGTGCTTTTTCAGATTAAGCAACTGGAACTCCTATAGATACAACCCCTCTCCATTTGTGTGTGTGTATTTGTGTGTGTGTGTGTGTGTGTGTGTGTGTGTGTGTGTGATAGAGAGACAGAGACAGAGAGAGAGAGAGAGAGAGAGAGAGAGAGAGAGAGAGAGAGAGAGAGCTTTTATGTTAGAGGAGTCAGTGGCTCAGTCAGTTTAGGCAACTGGTCAAAACTGGAAAATGAAACAAGCTAAGGATAACTGAGGACCTGGCCCTCAGGCTAAAATGACCTCCAGCAGGAGGTGATCTTTGGTCCCTGGAGAGCTAATGTAGCACAGGGCCTACAGAGCGGGTGTTGCAGGTTCTTCACGTAACTCAGTGCATGGTGTTTTGCCAGGGGGCACTGGTGCCCAGAGGGATAAAGCAGGGTAGGACTGGGAGCTCAAGGCTTCTCACAAACCTGCTACATCGGCACTCTGGGCGCTGGGGTCCACTCTAGGCCCATCAGCATCAGCACCTCTTTGAAGGCACAGGAGGGGCAGTGCCCGCCCACCACACTGCTCCTTGTGGAGAAATTTGACCAAGAGGATTGACTTCGACAAGCTGAGCACCAAGAAGGCCATGCAGACTGTGAAGAAGACACCTAGGGGACGACACCAGAGGGACAGAGTTGGCCAGAGACGCTGCGGCCTGCCTCTCCTCCATCTGAAAGGCGGCCACAGGTCTCTCATCTGACTAGTGCAAGGTGGGTGTCAGGTGGCCTTGAGGCTGCTTACCAATCAGAGAGGTGCCCCCCGCACTCCTCGGGACCTCATTAGCCATGTTGACCCTGAAGACAGTGTAGCCGACCAGCACACTGGTCTTGAATATAATCCTTGCCCGGCAGTTGGGCGGCAGGTAGAAGCTCCCCAGGTCCATGAGCATCAGGAAGATGCTGGGAATCAGCAGGGTCACAACGTAGGCCAGGGGGCGCCTGCGAATCACCACCTGGCCGGAGAGGAGAACCCTGATCAATCTATGCCAGTGGATGAGTGTTTGGCCAAATCTGTAGCCAGGAATACTCTCTTCAATCTCAGTAGTTTATCTTAGAAATATGTTTGATCTTTTTTTTTTTTTAAAGGAGGAAAAGTTTATTTCAGCTCAACTTGTAAAGGTTTCAGCCCATAGTCAGGTGCCTCGAGGGCAGGGCAGTATGGGAAAGACATATCCCAGAGGAGAAGCAGTCCATGGCAGAGCAGACAGGAGTAAAGAAAAATACTACTTTGTGGTTTAGAAAAACAAACAAACAAACAAACAATGCTTTTTAAGCTTTCACATGTAGGGGCTGGGGATTTGGCTCAGCAGTAGAATGCTTGCTTAGTAAGCTGGAAGCCCTGGGTTTGGTCCTCGGCACCAAAAACAAAAAATAAACCTCCCCTAAAAAACAACTCAAGCTTTCACATGGAGCTAATGCTAACATTACTGATGGCCATTGATGGTGATAATGAGACGCTCTCATTTATTTATCACCATGTGCCAGGCATTAGACTGTTTCACACATTTATTCTGTTCAGCCATTACATCTCTAATGGCTGAGTTTGGTTGCTATCTCTGTCTTATAAACAAGGAGAGTGAGGTTCAAAGAGGTTGAGTTACTTGTCCAAATGCACTTAGTTGGTGTGAAACTATTTTAAAGCCAAAACCTGGCCAGGTGAGGTGACGCACACCTGTAATCCCAGCATTTGGGAGCTGAGGCAGGAGGATTGCTGCAATTTCAAAGCCAGTCTGGGATACAAAGTTCAAGGCCAGCCTGAACCACACTGTGAAACCTTATTTCAAGAAGAGGAGGAGGAGGAGGAGGAGGAGGAGGAGGAGAAGAAGAAGAAGAAGAAGAAGAAGAAGAAGCAGCTTCTTTTATTGGAACCACTTATTATGCTAAATTGTGTATTATTTCCTGGCTAGTTTTTTGGAAGGTGAGCTCCTTGGCATCAGAGGATCTACCAGACTCTGAGTGGGAACAAGTAGCACAGTAAAATGAGTAAATTTCAGGTGGGTTCAACAAAGAGACTGTCTGCAATATGTGGTCAAGGTACAAAGAAATCACAAGAACAGCAAGGCCAAACTTGCTGACTCATGCCTTTAAGTCCTGCCCTCTGGGACACTGAGGCAGGAGGACTGCAAGTTTGAGCCCTGCTTAGGCCATTTAGTAAAACTCTGTCTCCAAACTAACAAACACAAGCAGGACTGGGGATGTAACTTGGTGCGAAGGTCCTGGGTTCAATCCCCAGTCTCCCCACCTGCTAAAAGAAGAATAGTGGTGCAGGGCTTTTGGGGGACTGAGTGAGCAGACACTGCCTTTAGGCCTGAAGGAGTCAAGGCACAGGGGTAGAGGCCAGACCTGAGGAGAGAGAAGGCTGTGCAGACAGGCAGGAGCTGGGGTGCAGTCAGCTTGGTAGAGCCCTATGCCCACCCCTTCCAACTTCCTGTCACTGCTCCTGTGCCTTTTTCCCATGACCATCTCTGCACCCCCCAGCTCAGCCTCTAGGAACACCAAACAGGAGAGAAGGGGGAGGTGGGTTCCCCAGGAGTAGGGTAAACTGAAGCTATTCCATTTGGTCTATACTATGGGTCCATCCAGAGCTCTGGGCAACCTTTATAGCTTGGAATTCGAGTCCTCTAAAATCATTGTCACTGTCTTGTTTTATAGCTAGGTTCTCTGGGATAGTGACAAGGAAATGTCTTTAAGAAACGCCTACTCCTCTCATCCTTCTTAGAAGGAAACCAGGGAGCACATGGCTGAGCTGCTTCTCCCACAAGACTGTGAACCCCACTTCCTACCATCTCCAGGGTAGTGATAATCTTCCGAGGGGCAAAGATAAGACTTTTCTCGTAGCAGACAGCCAACAAATGTTTACCAAGTAAATGAACATCCTAGGCCCCTTGCTTCTGGATTTAGACAAATAATGTTTAGAATCTCATTTCTTGGATGCACCAAGCAGTGGAATGCTTTCTCCATGTTGGATAAAGTGCTGGAAGCAGCCCGTCAAGCGATGTGATTGCTGTAATTCTCACCGCTAACTTGTTGGTAAGTAACATTCTCCACTCTGCAGCTTTCAGAAACACAGCTCAGCACCCTCCCAGCAGCAGAGTTGGGTGTGCTCCTGCTGTGCCTGATCACTCCTGTTCTTTACCATGGAGCACACTGGGCTGGATCTCAGGTCCTGTGTAAGGACAGGGCCCTTGTCTTTCATTTCCGTCTCCTGCTCAAGAAGCCAAGGCAGAGACAACACGCAGTGTCCACCAGTGGGGCAGAGGGTGACAGGGGAGCAGCGTGGCCGGGGCAGTCCAGACACCAGCTTGCTGACGGGAGCAAGGGCTCCCAGCCACCAGGTCCAGGAGCTCATCGCAGTCCTGTTGGGCTTGGCAGGCCAGAGCCACTCGGTGGATTCTAGTCTGGTTGTTGTCTTTCATATTAAGCGTAATTGGCTGCAAATGGCTACGCTAGAGCAATACTCTGCTTTGCAGTAATTTGGTTAAAACACATTTCTACAAAAGTGTATTCAACAAGAAAAAATAACAAAATTAAGTGTCCTCAGCCTGCACCTTTCTAGTTCCTGTCATTGTGTGTGACTGGGATGGCCATGGGTAGTTCAAGCAGGAGAGAGAGGTTAACTCTTACAGTCCACTGTGGGCCAGCCTGGGCTGACGGGGATCTAGCCTGATGGGGCTGGGTGGCGACATGGCTGCTGTTCCAGAGGGTAGAAATGAGAATGTCCCCGTTGGTAGAGATGAAGGGCAAGAGGAGTCTAGGAAAAGTATGAGTAGGCATGATGGTTGGCCAAATTTTCAAGATTTCAGAAATCTTAGAATCAAGGGTGAAGAGTTCCACAGGGCCTCCATGTCAAGTGATGCTAAGCAAACCTAAGCGATCCTGCGTGAGGTGATCTCTCTGTGCCTCCATTCCTACTCATTCCTTTTCTGCTTTTTTTGTTTTTATTTTTGAGATAGGTTCTCAGTACGTAGCTGAGACTAGCCTGGAACTCAGGTGATCTTCCTGCCTCAGCCTGCCAAGTGCTGAGATTACAGGCGTGCGCCACCACCCCTGGCTCTGCTTTCCTTTAGGTGTTTTTTTTTTTTTTTTTTTTTTTTGCCTTGCCCTGTGTCTTGTGTGTGATGGAGCTCTGTTGTGCTCTTTAAATAAAGTGAAGATGATTGCTCTCCGCCCAGAGGCTGATGTGGACAGAAAAATGTCAATCAAAGCCAAAGCCAAAGCCAGGTAGTGGGGCTCCTCTGGGTCCTAATTCCTGAGGAGCGCAGTATGATCAGAGCATGTGGTTCTGGAGGGGTCAGGGGAAAGGCGTGGGAAGGGAGAGCTACGAGGGTGGGAGGCAGCTGGCTTCATGGGTACGAAAGCTGTATAGGCATATATGGCCCTGAGCTGTGCCAGCGCTGTTTAGAAATTTTAAATAATTTTTTAACAAGAGGCTTCCCATTTTGATTTTGCAATGAGACCTACAAGTTGTGTCAGATTCTGTCAGCAAGCTATTGTTCATTGGGTGTCAACAGCAGCTGAGGCTGGAGAGGAAAAACAGAACTACAACCATGAACAATTCACTTCTGCTGTGACATAAAATGAAGAACTTTCCTGCTGGTTTTGGTGGCACTGGCCTGAGATCTGAGCACTCAGGCGGCTGAGGTAGGAGGAGTTTGAGGCCAGCCTGGGCTTCATAGTGAGATCCTGTCTCAAATAGAACAGAACACATACACAAAAAAATAGAACAGAACATTTCTGTGTTTGGATTATAAAATTGCAAACCCCTCCAGAACCACCTCATTCATTCTTCCCATGCCTTTATGGTAAGGTATGTCCCCATTCCTAAAATAGCTCAAATAGTCCCTATTAGTTTGGTTTTCTTCCAGAACAAGGGACCCACAGCTTTCTTTAGAGACAATGTTCCCTCAGATTAGACTAATTTTCTCTATAAGCCTTTTTTTGGGGGAGTATTTTAGGGAAGGATCTACAGGTGTTCAGGGTTTCACTACGACATCAGACTCGTAGTGATCCACCTGTTTACAGCCTCCCAAGAGCTGGGCTCACAGGTGCACGTCACCACCCGCAGTCTCAGCGACTAAAGGTGATTCACCCCGTCACACACAGTGTGTGGCTGCCAAAGAGTGGACTGGAATACACTGCATTGCTTTTAACTGTGGGTCTTCAGGATGTAGGATTAGGCACGTGGTCTCTGGAGTCAGGTTGTCTGGGCTCGAGACCAAAAACCTCAACTTCTTGGCTCCTCAATCCACTTAGAAATAATCCAGATACTCCGAGAGCCTGCCTCCCAGGTGTAAATGCCTACAGACTCTTCGTTGGTGCCTCGCATTTTGCAGTCATTGTTATCACAGCTCCCTGGCAGGCCTTGGGGTCCACACGAGATATCAGGAGCCGTTTGTATCCATTGTCGTGTTGTAAGCATTCAGCATTGGTTGGCACACACAAAAAGATGTTCATTGCACTGCGTTGGAGTCCGTCAGTAATGCTAACTTTAGTTGCAATGGAATGGTGGTGTGGCATCGCCCCACCGGGGGGCTCTCCTGTTGCAGTCCATCTTCCTGAAGGGTGGCTCTCATAAATCATGCCAGAAGCCATCACCCCTGCTTTTGTTTTTTGTTTTTTTTGTTTTTTTTGTTTTTTTTTTTTTTTGCTCCTTGAATGCCTTCAGGGCACTTTGGCATGGCTGGAGTGTTGTGGGGATCGAACTACAGCAAACTGAGGCTGCCAGCATTGTGGAAGCAGCCACTTAAAGAACTGAGCTAGGGCTGGGCCCCCCTGACCCCTGCTTTTGGTAGGAAGAAGTATCGCCAGACTTAGGTCTCTGCAAAGCTAGCCCTACCTGCCGCCCGTCATTTCTAATGGACTAGAGGAGCTGGTGCCTTTAAATTCCACAGAAAAGGAAAAAGAAGAAAAAAACCAAAACACTTTAGTTTCAGTCCGTGTTCTCCATTAGACACCCTTCAGGTGTTAGCAATATTATGCCACAATTTCATTATCCATTAAAGCCAGGTAATAATAAGTACACAAAGGTATTTGGAGCCTATTGATGTTAATGAAAGAGATCAATCTAATTCAGAATGTGTGTGAGCAGAGCTCCTTGGAGATGGAATAGGCCCCAAGGTTGGCCCATAATGGCCTCCTTGATGGTAGACCCCACCAGTACTCAATTTTGCATGACCGTCTTTATGACATAGTTGGAATTTTGACGCCCGGGCTCGCACTTCATACAGAAGCCCATTTTCCTCCTCTCCCAAGCCTCTCTCCCAAGGTTCCCGGTTCAGAAAGAAGGGGAAAGTGATTTCTGTTTAAATAAGATCTTTGCACTGTCGTGAGAGTTTCTTGGAGCCTGATTGAGATGGACTGGATTAGCAGAAATTCCATGATGCAGGCATTGATTTGAGTGACCTGGGAAGGATTCCTAAGCCCCTAGTCTGTCTGTCTGCCTGTCTGCCTGCCTGTCTCTCTCTCTCTCTCTCTCTCTCTCTCTCTCTCTCTCTCTCTCTCCCTCTCTCCTTCCTCTCTCTCCTCCATTGGTGCCCCAAAGGATCTTATATCAAATTTATAAACTGCATTCAGTGGAAATCTCAACAAAATTAAACATAGAAAAAAAAACTTTTATCATGGAAACAAGAGGGAAAGAGAAGCACCTTTTCCTTTATCTAGGAGTGCTTTGTGGACACACCACACTTCCTGCCTGAATGAATACTTTGTTCAACATGAGGTATCTGGTTGGGCTGGCTTAGTTCCCATAGCTGTCCATTCTTTTCCATCCAGTAGAAGTTTCAAATTTTATCCCTTCCTCCCCTCGCTTCTACCGTCACTTTAAAAAAGTCACTGCCCTACAAATCAGATGCTCACCCTGCTGCTTCTGGGAACCAGGACCTCCAGTAACATAGTGAAAGAAAGCTGCCCTCCTATGGCTGCTGGATCGGGCCCGCCTGCACTCAGACATCCTTGCGGGGAGAAGCGTTTCATTCTGGGACCTCCGTGGTATGCAGCCGGACTCCAAAGCTTCAGTGGTGCCCTTGGGTAAGCAATAGGAGTCCCCTGGCCCGCAGCTCTGATTGCACATTAGCTGGAGCCAACAGGGCATCCGCAGAGCTTGATTTAGTATAAACAGCAGCCAGGACTGCAGGCCTAAGATGCTGGTGTTGTCACATCCCCTGCCTGCTCCCCCTGCCCCAAGCTCTTGCTGGGCAGCCTGGACTGGACGCAGTGGGGGTTAGTGTACGGGGGAGATGGCCCTTTACTGCCAGGATCTCGACAGGCCCAGAGTTGGCACGGGCATGGGCTCTGGTTCATGTCTCTGGCTGGTGGTTGTTGAAAGACACCAGAAAGTCTTGCGTGCTACCTGCTGCTGAGCAAGGACCATGAGCCTAGGCAGGGCACACGCGGAGGCCAAGAGGCCGAGCGAGCCAGAGAGCTGGAATAGTAACAGAGCCTACTTTAAGTCTTTGCAAGGCTGCAGAATCACTTCTAAGTCTGTCCCACGCCATCTGTGCCTCTACACAGGATCTTTTCATTACTCTGTTTTTCAGGACTGAAATAGAGACCAGCCCAGCTAACACCACCAGGGCAAACAACCCCTATGCTGGAGAAGTCTCCAAGAGCAAGGAATGGGGGTAGTGGGGGCTCCTCTGCAGAGAGGAGAACAGGGCAGGATGGGAATAGAGGCACCGGAGCATGGATCCTCGATCTGGAGAAGACTGCCCTCTGGTAAGCGACTAATTTTATCAGTTATCTTATTCATATTCCAAATGGAAGGTTACAAAGAAAACCTTCAGCTGCTGGGGGGGGGGATTAATATTTAAGGGAAAGGGTAGTGCATAGAGCCGGGGAGATAGCTCAATGGCATATGCGCCTTGCTGGTAGGAGTAAGGTCCTGAGTTCGAACCCTGATGCCAGAGGGCAACGCATAACTCCAAAGGGCTGCTCCGCGGAGAGCGCCTGAGTGTGCGTGCGCGCGCGCATGCGCAGAGCCGCGCTCGCTTGCGCTCCCATTTCCCGGCCCTGCCTCCCGCCTGCATTTGTCTCCTCCGTGCCGCGTAGGTAATGGTGTGTGCAGCGTTCTCAGTAGTACTTGGTAGGTGACTACATCCCACCTCGCACGTGCTCCTCTCTCACATTTCCCTTTAATGCTCCCCATTATTCGGGCTGCATTAATAATGTTTGCAGGCTGTTATCTTTAAAATTAATGAGGTGTTTACTCTTCACCAAGAAACTCATTGAAATTTTTTTTAAAGCTTCCTTTCCCCCTGCGTTTCTTTTACTAAAAAAAGTGGACAAGCAGGCCATGCAAAAGCTTTACAAAAAACCAAGCAAAATTCTACACAAGAACTCAAACCCGATCCCACTCCTAGGAAGGTGGGCGTTGCAGTCAGCTGCTAGCCAGTGTTATACTTTAATCTGGTTCAGACCCCAGGTATCGGGCCTGCAGTATAGCTCCGCAGACTAAGCGCCTTCGCAGGGACTGGGTTTCAATCCTTGGCACCAAATGCCGCGCCAGTCCCACCCAGGACTTGCTCAGCCAGCCACCGAGACTCAGCCTGGTGGCACATGCCTGTAATCCTAGTGCTGGGGGCTGGGGAGATGGCTCAGTGGAATAATCATTTCCCTGGCAAGAGGAAGGGCCTGAGTTCAATCCCTGGTTCTGCAAAAAAAATAAAATTAAATTAAATAAAAATAAATCCTAGTGCTGGTGAGGCTGAAAACAGGAGTATCACTCTGAGTCCAAGCTGAGACTCTATACCAAACATAAAAAGAAAAACAAACAAACAAAAAAACAGGTGTCTCCAAGAGACCCCAACTTTATAAGAATTTTGTTGGAAAGCTGCAAGCAACTTCAGATATCCAAGCTCATAACACGAGCACTGTATGCATCTGCATCTGACATTAATTTATAATTACTTAATTAAAAACAGGACAATCACATTGATCATCTAGACTTCCCATCTGTTAGTGATGGCGAGTTTGTTTGTTTGTTTGTTTTTCTCAGTAGAATTAGAAGTGATCGAGTCGCCGTGTGTTGAGAGCTTCGAGGATTCCTGCCTTCGAGGAGGGCGCTGGTGGCGCCTGAGCGCCATTGTCCTTGCTTTCCCTTGTGGACCATCCATGACGGGCTCCCAATCTCTCCCTGAACCTCAGGTTGCTGATCCTGTAGCTGCCCAGAGCTGTGAGAACCGACGGCTCTTGTGTGATAATGAAGGAGAGTATGTGGTAGGGCAGAGATTCCTCAACCCATCAGAGAAGCGCAAGGACCACAGAGAAATGGGCAATGGGACAGGAAAGGGAGGAACCTACATTAAACTGAATCTGTGCAAAATCTCCAGCACTGATCTGCAGGATGTTGTATGTCGAGGACACAGAAAGCAGTTCCCACTCGCTGTCATTCAAAAATGATTTTTTGTCATGCTTAATGTCTTCTCTGTTCCTCAGAAAGCCCAGGTCTACATCTTCCACTGGAAATGACAGAAACAGTTTACATCCCAGGAAAGAAAGGAGGGCACCAATGCCAACCCACTTTCCAACTCCCAGTTCAAACCCTTGCTTTCTCTTGCCCCTACATTTACAGTTACTGACCTCCTTTGAATTAGCAATGAAGATGTAGAATAAATCTTTATAGGCCTTAAAAGGATGGCAACTGGGCTGGTGAGATGGCTCAGTGGTCTAAAGCACCTACCTAGAACAAGCTTAGCAAAGCACAGGGACCACGGTTCAATCCCCAGCACCACATGCCAGCC